TTCCACCAGGTGAAGGTGCCAGTGAAGTCTAACTGCTTATAGCCTTGCACTATTTGAAAGTATTAGAATGATGAGGAGGTGTGACCTTGTTGGAGGAAGTGTGTCTTGGGTTGGGAAGTAGAGGGCAGGGTTTGAGGTTTCAAAAGCCCTTGCCAAGCTCAGTCTTTCCCCTGCCCCAGTCCCTGCCCTCCCACTGCTGTGCTCCCTACCATGACGGTAATAGACTAAACCTCTTAACTGTAAGTAAGACCCAAACTCAGTGTTTTCTCTTAGAAAAGCTGTCTTGGTCATGTTGTCTCTTCATAGCAACAGAACAGTGTCTAAGGCATTGGTTTTGTTTTACTGGCAATGCAACAGTAGATACAAGTGACCTCAAGCACAGGGACCGCAGAGGAGTAAGAAGTGATGAGGTCTGAAGTTTGCAATGTATTGAAAATTCCAGTTTTTTTTTTGGTTTTTCGAGACAGGGTTCTCTGTGGCTTTGGAGGCTGTCCTGGAACTAGCTCTTGTAGACCAGGCTGGCCTCGAACTCACAGAGATCCTCCTGTCTCTGCCTCCTGAGTGCTGGGATTAAAGGCGTGCGTCACCAACGCCCGGCTCGAAAATTCTAATTTTTTAGTAATAAATTTAGTAACCATCTTAAAAGGATCCTGAAAATTTTAGCATTTCAATATCTTATCCTATTTTCCATAGGAAACACAATTAATGTCTATGTTTTATGTACTATAAAATTGCTTAAATTTTTAAAAATATTACTTGTGTTTTCAAAGTTTATTGTAATGCACCAGTAAGGTTTTCATGTTTACCAGATAAAGAGAATGGCATTATAGTGCCTTTATGTTGTCCACCTTTAAACTCACAGATAAACTGTGTGGCACACTGACCTGTGTAGGGGTGAGCCCACAATACTATCCATGCCCCTTTGGGATACCTGGGGCAGGTGAGGATATAAAAAGAAAAAAAAAAAAAAAAGCAAAAGCACTCTCTCTTGGAAGCTAGTCATGTTCCCAGAGCTCCTATCCTTCTGTTTATCTTGTAAGTAAATTTAATAAATATAGCCGGGCGTTGGTGGTGCACGCCTTTAATCCCAGCACTCGGGAGGCAGAGGCAGGCGGATCTCTGTGAGTTCGAGGCCAGCCTGGTCTACAGAGCGAGCTCCAGGACAGCCTCCAAGGCCACAGAGAAACCTTGTCTCGAAAAACCAAAAAAAAAAAAATTTAATAAATATGTTAGACCTCCTTTTTCAGATAGCGTTATTTCAATCTTCAGCTGCTTTGGGGCGTGAACAGTATTGTGGGCTCACCCCTACAGACCTGGAACTGTTAGTTTAGGCCAATGATATTTTTAAATTTTTCAATGACATTTTTAAACTTCTTTGAAAATCCAATCCATTTTGTAATGTTATATGTATATGTGTATACATGAACACAGACTTATATGCATATATATTTACACAATTTCAAATTTGCCTTTCTGTCAGCATCTAATAGGGAATTATTTTCTTTATTTACCAGTTCTTAAAATAATGACTTGGGGCTGGGCACTATAATGGAAGAGCACTTCCATATTGTGCATATGACACTGTAAATTCTGTAGATTCCATCCCCAGCATTGCAAAAGAACATCAGCAGGCTGCTGGGTTCATTTCCAAGCACCCACATGACAGCTCACAACTGTCTGTAACTGCAGTCCCAGAAGATTTAATACCCTCTTCTGTTCTCCTCTGACACCAGATACAACTTTGGTGCACAGATATACATACAGGCAAAATACCCATACACATAAAAGAAGCAAACAGATAAAAGAACAGCAACAACAAAACCCTAAGGAACAAATAATCACTGGTTCCTGTTATACTTGTGATAGAAAATGTGCCCCTTAGGCTCATGTGTTTGAACTGTTGTTCTCCAGCAACAGTGTTTTAGGAGACTGTACCCTAGGAGGTGGGGCCAGCTTGAAGAAGAAGACTTCTTGGTGGCAGGCGGTGAGCTTTGTATCCTGGCTCCACTTCTTGTCCACTCCTTGCTTCCTGTTCTGCTGAGGTGGCAGCAGCTGCCATGTGCTCTGACCTCCACCATGCATTCCTTGCCATGACAGATAGATAGGCTGTATCTGCTGATCTGGAGCCAAAGTGCACTTCTCCCTGAAGTTTCCTCTTGTCAGGAATTTGATCAGTGCAAGAAAAGGAACTAATGGAGACCTTTCCCTAGCAAAATTTGAGTTGCTTTTTTTAAAAAATACTTGTTATGATTTGTTCTCTCTCTCTCTCTCTCTCTCTCTCTCTCTCTCTCTCTCTCTCTCTCTCTCTCTCTCTCTCTCTGTCTCTCTGTCTCTCTGTCTCTCTCTCTGTCTCTGTCTCTCTCTCTCCCTCTCCCTCCTTCCCCCCTCCCTCCCTTCCTCTCCCTTCCCCCACCCTCCAACTCAGACTCACAGAGATTCACTTGCTTCTGCTTCCTGAGTCCTGGGATTAAAGGCATGTGCCATCCTTGGTATTTCTGCCCCAAAGTTGCAATTAGCGCTTGCTTTTGGGAATTCTCACAAGCAGATGGTGTTTAGAGACTAACCCGACTACTATGGGTGTGTGCTCGCTCGTTGAATTCTCACTAGCCCCTGCTTCTAGATATTTACAGTGGACATAGGCTAAGAAATAGGCAGTTTTAAGTATAAACTACAGGATGAGTTCATTTTACATATAACAGTTTTTCATGTTTCTCATTTGTACCACACCAAAAGTAAAATTTCCCCATTTGTTTACTCATTCTCAGACAATGCTTGAAGAGTATTACAGAAACCACACTGGCAATAGCACCAAGATATTACTGATAACCGAGTTGTTTTGTTGTTACCTTGAAATCCTTTCTTTTAGGTGTTGCAGGACTGTATTGTTAGAGAAGGTGATCCAGTTTTGTGTTCTCGGTGGCTGCTGCGAACTGAACATAGGCTCTTACATATGTCAAGCGTATGTTCTACAGTGAGCCATATCTCCAACCGTCATTAGTGTTTAAAAAGGACACAATTAGTTCTTCTTCTGACACCAAACACAAGTTCATCATTCATGTTTGTATTTTGCTCATCGGGGGGGGGGTCTCCCTTTTTTCTATAAAGTTTACTTGATGTGATGAAATTCAACAGGTTTTCACTTTATTGTATATGATTTTGACATGGCTAGGAGGAATTCTATTGTTCTCCACTACAAGATATACATTTTATATCCAAACATCTGAGCTCTCTGAAAATTAACTTTTTTTTTTTTTGACTTTTCGATGCAGAGTTTCTCTGTGTAGCTTTGGAGACTGTCCTGTAATGACACTATGCTCTGTAGACCAGGCTGGCCTTGAACTCACAGAGATCTGCCTGCCTCTGCTTCCTGAGTGCTGGGATTAAAGGCGTGTGCTACCACTGCCAAGCTGAAAATTATTCTTGGAAGGATTGAAGTTTACCTTTTTCTGTATGGAAACTCAGTATTCAAAGGGTTAGTTAGTTCAGTATTAGTTAAAAGTCCATCTGTTTCTCACTGCTTTGAAACACACCTTTTATCCATGTTAGTTTTTTGTTGTTATTTGAGTGAGCTTCCCATTCTTGTTCATTATCAACCATTAAATTATAAATATTTTATAATAATTCAATACCTGATACCATTGCTCCACTCTTCTTTAAGGCTTCATTTTCCCTATGAATGTTATTATCTGTTTTTGCTTATGATAGTATTTACCACAAAAACTTTTAGAGAGGAAGTAAGGGGGAGGAAGGGAAGAAGATTGGATGGGAGGAGGTAATGTATTCCATCCATGTCACAGGAATCTCCTCTTCCCTCTAAAGTTGGGTATATAAATTTTAAAAAAGCTTTACACTTGGTTTTGGTGGATACCATTAAAAAAATAAAAAGCCTGTAGATAGAACACAGTGTTAAATTCTGATTTTGAACTTATGACTTAGATTTTCCTATACATTCTGAACTGTAGGTAATGACCTCAATGTTTCCCCAGCTCCCTAGGCTAGAAATCCCTCTAGCCCTCCCTTTACTCATTCTTCGCTTTAATTCTGATGTCCTCTAGTTAAGTTGAAAATCTGTCCCAAATTATCTGAGTTTATGCCTCCAATGCCACTACACTTTACAATGTTTCTTGTGAGTTGCTTATTTTATTTATTTTGATATAGAGTCTTGCTGTGTAAGCCACGCTGGCCTCAGACTTGTGGACGCCTTCTCCCTCGGCCACACAACTGCTAGGATGACAGGCTGCACCACCATTCTAAACTAGTTAAGCAGTCTCTCCCCACTGCGGCTTATCAGTTGCACTGCCTGTGCCGTTGCTATTCCTTTAAACCAAAGCTAGCCATGAGACTCCTTTACTAACATTTGTTGTCTCTCAGGATAAACTCACCCTCCTTACCATGTAACTCATGTTTCAGTTTTAGATGCCAGCCACCTCTTCTGGCTTCACCCCCATCATTTCTTCATCCATTTCTCTGTCATTTCTTCACTCCTCACACTGAGTTTGCCTATTTAACTGCATTTCTTTTTTTATTTCTATTTATTTTACATCCTCCCCCCCATCCTCCCCTCTCAGTCGCACTCCCACATCCCCTCCCTTCGACTCCCCAAACTCATCCTCTTCTGTCTCCATCCAGGAAAGGGCAGGTTTCCTATATTAATTGCATTTCTTAATTTTATTTTATTATTACTATTTTGTGTTTTCAAGACAGGGTTTCTCTGTGTAATCTTGGTTGTTCTAGAATTCACTTAGTAGGCCTTGAACCCAAGGGATCTACTGCCTTTGCCTCCCAAGTGCTGTGGGATTGAAGGTGTGTGAAATCACAGCCCATATTGATTGCATTTCTTCTCAAAAATGGATCCTTAGACTACCTCTCTCCCCTCAATTCCAAACTTCTTTTTGTCAGGGAAACTCTCACTATGAGACCTCGTTCATATGTTGTCTTTGATAAAGCTTTTGAATGTTTCATAGTCAGAATTATTAACTCCATTTTTATTCTCACAAAACTTTGTCATTTGTGTCTTTATTAAATGGTTTGTCTCTCAGGAATTCCATGCTTTCAACATCAATAGAAAGTGAGTTCTTCATATTTCTGCAGCTTCTAGTACAGTGCATAGTATACAGCAAGCACTCAAATGTTTGATCAATGACTGAAAACAAAGAAAGCTTCATTAGTGACTGAAACAGAATCAAGGTATGACTTTGGACAGCTCTGTATACTATTTAGAGCAGTGGTTCTCAAGATTCCTGATGCTGTGATCCTTTAATATAGTTCCTCATAAAATTATTTTGTTGAACCCGGTGGTGGTGGTGGTGGTGGTGACGAAGCATGCCTTTAATCTCAGCACTATTGAGGCATCGGTAGTCAGATCTCTGTTGAGTTCCAGGCCAGCTTGGTCTACAAGAGCTAGTTCCAGGACAGGCTCCAAAGCTACCCAAGGAAACCCTGTCTCAAAAAACCTAAATAAATAAATAAATCTTTTATTTTGTCTGTCTGTCTATCTATTTTTTTGTTTTTTTGAGACAGGGTTTCTCTGTATAGTTTTGGAGTCTGTCCTATAGACCAGGCTAACTTTGAACTCACAGAGATCCTCCTGCCTCTGCCTCCCGAGTGCTGGGATTAAAGGTGTGTACAACCAATGCCAGGTTTCTTTTGCTATTTTTTGTTTTGTTTTGTTTTTACGAGACAGGGTTTCTCAGTATTGTTTTGGAGGCTATCGGTCCAGCCCGGCCTCGAACTCACAGAGATCCGCCTGCCTCTGCCTCCCGAGTGCTGGGATTAAAGGCGTTCACCTTATGAATAGTAAATATCTGATTGATATTCTACCACAGAGGGGTCATGACCCATAGGCTGGGAACCTCTGCTGTATTGTTTTTTTCTTTGTTCAAACTGAATTCTTACTTGTATGGGAACCATTGGCAGTATTTATTCACAGTAATACACTGGATCTCTCCACATCTCTGTCTACCTAGTTCTAAACAGATGCTGCTTTATGGAAACAAGTACCAAGTGCTAGTTCACAATGGTGCCACAATTAGTCTGTAACGCAGGCAGATTGTATATACAAGTTCAGAATTATCATAAGATTAGAAAAGATGACTCCATCATTAAATCCTCTCACAATTGTGCACACTAGGCTAAACTAGGTGAGCAGAAGACAAAGTGCTGTGGGAACTGAATTATTGTATAACTAGAGTAATTTTATCTGATTTTTCTCATCTCTGTGAACTAATCAATGGTTGAATTGGTAAACATGAAAAAGGAATGACATGATCTCAACAAGACATGAAGCATAGCTTTGTTTTTGTTTTGTTTTTTCTCTGTATCGTTTTGGAGTCTGTCCTGGAATTCGCTCTGTAGACCAGGCTGGCCTTGAACTCACAGAGATCTACCTGCCTCTGCCTCCCGAGTGCTGGGATTAAAGGCATGCGCCACCAACGCCCGGCTTGAAGAATAGCTTTGTAAGGTGTTAATTACTTGGAGTAATACACCTTAAGATTCCAAATAAATCATTACTTTAAAGTATAAGTTTAAAAATAGAGGCTAAATTGTTCAGGTGTGGTGGTGCATGCCTTTGATACTCATACTGGGAGGCCGAGGCAGGTGGACCCCTGTGAGTTCCAGGGCATCCTTGTCTCAAACAAAACAATATATATATAGGATATATTGGATAAGTAATTCATTTCTTTTTTGTTTGTTTGTTCGTTTGTTTGTTTGTTTGCGAGGTAGAGTTTCTCTGTATTGTTTTGGAGTCTGTCCTGGAACTCGTTCTGTAGACCAGGCTGGTCTCAAACTCACAGAGATCCACCTGCCTCTGCCTCCCGAGTGCTGGGATTAAAGGCGTGTGCAACCAAAGCCCGGCAAGTAATTCATTTCAGTGACCAAATAACATGAAAGACATTTTAGTATTAAAATGTTTTTACTATTGACATGAAAATATAGAAATTTGTTTATAATTTTGGGAGTCAGCTATTGATTTCCACCAAACTTTGCTTTTGAGAATGCCACAAAAATATTTGTGGGATTAGACAGGAAACTCTTGATAAGCTTTCAAATGTTCTGAGAAGACATTAAAGTTAAAGTTTTTCACTAAAACACTTTTCTCTTGTGTTCAAATCTTTTCCAGATGACAAGGCTCATTTTGTTGTAAGTCATAACCAGGGAAAAGACAACTTTTTTGCTACTGGTGGATTCAACTTAAATTGCATGTACAGACTTTTTTTTGTTTTTTTGCTTTTTCAAGACAGGGTTTCTTTGTGGCTTTGAAGGCTGTCCTGGAACTAGCTCTTGTAGACCAGGCTGGTCTCAGAGTTACAGAGATCCGCCTGCCTCTGCCTCCCGAGTGCTGGGATTAAAGGTGTGCGCCACCAACACCGCCCTTTGCATGTATACACTTTTTTTTTTTTTTTGGTTTTTCGAGACAGGGTTTCTCTGTGGCTTTGGAGGCTGTCCTGGAACTCGCTCTGTAGATCAGGCTGGCCTCGAACTCACAGAGATCCGCCTGCCTCTGCCTCCCAAGTGCTGGGATTAAAGGCGTGCGCCACCAACGCCTGGCTGCATGTATACACTTTTAAGACATTTTGAACTCTGGTTCTATAATCATCCAAAGAAATGATACCCTTTTATAATAACTAATGATTACACACACACACACCACACATATATATATTATGTATGTTTTCACAATCTATTATAAAAAATTACCATAATTTTCCCCATGGGTTTTTTCCCCCTAAAAGCAAAGCAATATAACTTACATATCCTTATGAAACTCATTATTTGGGTACCAACTTAGCATTTATAAATCAAATTTTACTTTAAGTAGAATGACCCTTTGGGCTGTACATGTCATGGTGCACCACTCCTCTGGATTTAAGAACTGCATCCCAAGTCAACTCAGAAAACCAAGATAACTCGAAATCAGCCTAAACTGATAACTAGGCAAAGTGTCAGTAACATATACTAAAATAGCAACATTGAACTCCATGTACAGAAATATCACTAAATTCCATTTGAGTAATGACCACCACTACAGAATTATACAGAACTTTTATGAATGTGATTTAGGATCATAGTCTACATATTTACACTTATTCTATTTTTCATGTGGACATTATTAGTAAATTTTGAGACGTGGGATTGTTGACCTAGTCATACATGTCTAAAGCTTGGCCTCTGAGTTAATTAAATATGAGTTAATAATATATTGTAAGGAAATTATTGTCTTTATTACAGTTATTAGGTAGTTACTGAAATTATAGTTTGAAAGGAATGCAGAGCATGGAAAACTCAGGATTAAATTATGCATTTGAACCTTAGGCCAGCTTTTCCTATAGAGACAGTTTTCTGCTAAAAGAGAAATTGTATGTCATTGAAATTAAATGCTTTTCTGGGGATGGAAGATTCCAGTTTTTAATGAAATTACTGAGTGTGGTGTAGTGAAATGATTAAAATCTGTATTCCGGGAATGTGGCGGGAGAAAAAAATCAATACGTGCTAGCACAGCTTTGCTGCTCAATGTGAACCCTAGGATTGAAATAAACTACTACAAAATAATAATTAAAAACATATCAGCACATTAATTTATTTAGCATCAGTCTCCCGAGACATCATCTTCACTAATTTTTAGCATACATTACTATGTAATGAGCAGCGTCTTTTCAGATGCCCCTATTAGACAGGCAGTATCTCTGCCCCTCCCCCAGGCTCCTGCCTGCAATCATTGTACTTGCGCTTATTATGTTACAAATGACCGAGGTAAGGCTGACATTCTCCGTGCATGCAGAAAGACCTAGTCTGCCAGCTTTTTTTCTTCCTAATGAAGCAGCTTTGTGAAATCTCCCCATGTGTTAATACTAATGAAGATCCTCCAGCACAATTAAAATCACAGCCAGTGGTTGAGGAGGAAACATAAAACAATAGCATCTTTTAAGATACATCTAGCCATATGTGTACGCATAAAATAATGTATGGGCAAATTATTCTTCAATAACTAAATTTTTACTTGGTCTTCATCCTGAAAACCAAATTACCTAATTTGTAATTATAGAAACTTCAAGACTTTATTGTGTTCTTAAGGGGGAAAACACCTTAAGAATATTTTTTAAAAATTACCTTTCTTCCTCGTTAATAAAGTGTACCATGGTTATGAATTTTTCTTTTTCTTTTTAATCGTTTTTAGGAGGCTGCGGGTACACTGTTGAAGGGAACGGGCTGCACTTTCCCTTTAGTTTAACTTGATTGGCTGAAGGGAACTGGGGAGTGGAAGGGTAAAAACTGAGTCAGCTGGCTGAAATTCTGGGGATCAGATACTACACAGCGTGTTTAGTTGGTAATGGGCAACTGGTCTTTTAAAGTGTTTTTAGTTCTTACAGTTAAACTAGTTTTTTTTTTCTAACCGACACTAGAAAAAAATGAGATTACGGCTTACAATTTATACCAATAACTGCAAAAGGACTTAGTTTAAAGTCTTTAATTTGAATCTTAATTTTGACTCAAACCATGAACATTACAATCGGTTTTACTCCTTGGAAAAGCAGTGGTATACCTTGAGATCGCCTTGCGCCCTGATTTTTGAGTCCTAGCATGCACAAATTCTTGGCACATTAATTTAGCTTGTAGGCTCCAACGCAATTTCTAGTTTACAAATATAAAAGTTGGTGAAGATGGCTAATCTATGTTCCTTAATAGTCTGTTTACGTTTTTTAAAAAATTGCATATTCAGTTCTGCCCCCTCCCCCTTTGAAAAGCAAAACAAAACATTTAAGTTTCTTAACTTTTTCCTGGGACGAGGAGCGGTGCAAACTCAAAGATACAGTATTCTTGGAATGAAGAAGCAGCCCCCTCCCTTGGCTCCTTTTAGAGCTGATAGGTCATTTATTATTGGAACTGAAATGGTATAAACAATTCTCTCGCTCTTTTTCCCCTTGTTAACAGCAACTTTCATTGTTAGAGAGAGGAGAGAGAGAGAAGCCTTGTTGGTTGACGTCACTTGGTTCATGAAGCCTTCGCCTAGAAGTGAAGCTGCTGAACAAACCTTGAGAAGAATCATCTCCTGCTTCAATCTGCTGCTGGATAGGAACTAATCAGAGAGAGAGCGGCGGAAGACGGGGACGGAGGGAGCCAGGGCTTTCGCGATCACGGATCTCACCTCCATTCCAACTCCCTAGACTTTCTTGCAGAAATTAGAAGAGAAATAAGGAGGCGGTGGGGATTCCGAAAAGCTTAACCTGCACCCGGGAAGGGCGAAAATCCCTTTCACCGGAACTCAGTTCGAAAGTGAAGGTGAGTTTGAGAGCCAGGGTGCGGGGGTGCGGGAGAGGTGGGATCCGGGCGGAGAGCGGCGGCTGCGGGCTGGAGCCCTCCCGAGGCGCCCGCCGCTGTTTACCCGCGCCGCCTGGTGTGTCTCTTTGTTGTGCGGGCAGCGACGCCGCGGTGGCTCTGGGGTCCCGAGTAGAGTCCCGGGCGGAGGGCGCAGGGACCTGGTCCCGGGCGGGGTGGGGGTGCGGGCTCGGCGGAACGGAAACTTTGCTGGGAGTGCGGGCGCGGGACCGGGTGGCCGGGCCTCGTCCCTCCATTGTGCCTGCCGCCCTCACCGCCGGCCTCGCGGCGTTCTCCTGGCCTGCCCGCTGCGGCGCCCCGCGGGACAGTTGGCGAGGCCCCTGCCCTGCCCGCCTCCGCCCCCGGTTCGCAGCCTCGCGCCCGCGCCGCCGACCCGCGCCAGGCCGCCGGGTCTCCGGAGCCGGGTGGGGGTGGGGCTGCGGCCCCGGGCGCCGGGTACCTGGCAGACCGGGTCGAGCGGGCTCTCCGCGCCCCGGGTCCCCGGCGGCCTGGCCAGCAGGTCCCGCCGCGGCGGGCTGGGCTCCCTGCCCTCGGTCTCCGCGCCCTCCCCCGCGATGCCCCGCTCCCTCCCCTAAAATAGTTCGGCGAACCCCAGAATTGGGATTTGGAAAGGCTAGGAAGTGTGCGGAGACTCGGAGCCGGCCCTGGGGGTGGGGGCTGGCTCCGCTGCCCCTCTCTCTCCTCGGTATTTATCTTTTGTGTGTTGTTTCCTTGTAAAGAGAGAAGCAGCTGCAGTCCGTGGCCGAGTTGTTGAAATTTATCCCTTTGTGTATATTACAATATCCTCCATTTTTCCCCCTGTCCTCTAAACAACAAGCGTTTCGCCATCTTGGGCAATTTTTATTCCCAAGTCTGTCTCTCTCTCTTTTAATTTTTAAGGAAGGGGAAGAAGCAATAGAAATGCAAAAAGTGTGTGTGGATAAGGCTCAAAGTTTAGGGACGGTTCAGGGGGCCATGTGACGTCATGTAAACTTTATCAAGAAAATTTCCTTCCCCAAAGTGTGTGTGTTTTGTTTTGTGTTTTCCTAAAAAATTTCTCGTTTTATGGAATCGTGTAAGTTACTGTGTAAGCCTACTGATAAGTTCTGAGATTTTTTTTTTTTTTTGCATTCAGAACGACTCGCAAAATCCACACATTTAATGTTTGGTAGCAATAGGAAGATTATTTTAAAAAATGATCAAAACTTTTATTGTGCCACTTAGTGTTCACCTAGTTTTGTGCATTCAGTTTTTATACTTTAAATTTTCAAGTGTGTTTATAACAATTACTTCCTTTCTTATGTGGTACCACAGATTTAACAAATTTAGATTAGTTAATATATACATATCTTAGGTTATGTACCTTCCCTTTTGTAGTTGTGGTCTAGTCTTTCGCGTTTTTTTTTTTTTTTACATTTTAAAAGAATATCATGAGATTCTTGATGCTTTTACATTTTAGTAGTAAGTATTAAAGTCAAAAGGTTGGCAAAAAACGTAGTTTAGCATATAAGAGGCAGAATTAACTTTAAAAGATAATTTGAAATCTTTTGCTGTAAACTTTATCAACCATCATAATAATAATGATAAAAAGTACTATTAAATTGGTCTAAAATAGCTTTTCACCTTACAAAAAGTTGAGCTGGTCACATGACCACACTTAATGATACACTCACTGACGAGTATATAAATAGGCACAGTAAATTGAATGGGAAAGTGTAATTCTGTCTCCAGTAGTCATTTTCAGTCAGCATATTTACATCTCTTCTAACAAGGACATGAAACTGTCTGTCTTTAATTTGCATTCCCTTTGTCTTCTGTGTTGGGGAAAAACACTGACTACAATGAACTTAAAGAAAGCTAATAGAAAAATTCTAAATACATTAAGATTTTCTAATATATGAAAACTTACATTGTAAATGGTATGTTTTAAATTTCTGTAATATTCCTTGCTGTTTTCTCTTATTCAGAAATTTGCTATATGTAAAATGTTACATAGAAATCTTGACCAAATTGAATGTCTGCTATTTAGTGAATTGTAGGTAGGTGAAAAATGTTTAAATAGTTAAAAGCACATAGAACAGATGGTTCTAAATTATACATGCAACAAAGGACCAGAAGATTTGGCAGATTATAAATGGAAGCAACAGAGGATAAGCAGTTTAAGAAAATGGTAGTTAAGTACGGTGACGTCTCACACCTATTGTAAACACTGCTGCACAATCAATAATTTAGATGACATTATGCATTTGTGTGTTTCAGAAGAAAAGTAAAATTTTACAAATATTTGAAGCAAATGAGTGTAAAAAAATTTTTAAGCTATGGTGACAATTTTTTTTATGATACCAGATTGTGTGTTTTCAAAACTGGAATTTATATAAAAGAACTTAATGTGGTCATATAATGATTTTCAGAGAAATAGGAATAGGTTCATATTTTTAAATCTAGATAATCTGTACTATTGTGGGTTAAACTAATAACATTGACTATGTTAACCTGTGCATTCACTCTTTATACTAGTGAAAACAGTATCTTAACTGCTCAGTCTTGGGAAATGCATTGATTACAATCCTGTCTGGCCTCATTTACTAAATAATATGGAGTGAAAGGATATATTTTAATTTTAATATTTGAATTTTGTACATATGTTATGATACTGACTTGATGACTATAGTTTACTATTTATAAATTAAAAATTTTGAGTAGTTATGGTCTGTCTGGAAGAATGAATGTAAGTGTATTTGCTTTTTCAAAAAGCATGGAATATCTATAAAAAGTCTTGAACTTTGCAGAAATTTGTCTTTAGCTTCTGTAAGCCACTATTTAAAGTACATATAAACTGTAATGGAGAGCTGGGTTTCTGATTCTGTTTCCCTTTTCCCCATTTCTTTGTTTGCATGTTTATTGTAGAATTGCAGTGTAAAGGAGCAGATGTTTTGCCAAACATCCTGATGTGTTGCTTTTTCTTATGGGAGGGCATAGCTGCTCCTTCTGATGCATCAACTTGACAGCTGGTTGATTTCATGGAGCTGCTAAGAAGCCATTAGTGGTGTCATTGAATTGAAACAGAACAGTCACCCCCAGCTTGAACTGCAATTGTTAATGTCTTTGTTGCTACTTTTGTGTTACTATACAAGATGTGGGATACCACAGTTGCACTGAAGTTCAAGGTTTTTGCCTTATCTCCTTGAGTTAGTGGAAGGTAGTGCATTAGACCTTGGTGACTCATAGATTTAAAGTTTTCATGAAAGAAAGGGTTTCTGGGTGTTTGAACTAGCCCTTCTTAGAAAACTACTAAAAAAAGAAACACAGCATAGTACAAACAAAATCATAAGGTGGTATTGACCCCTGTAAGGAATTATGTAATCAGGGTTCAGTGATTTTTAATATACTTAATTTCCTGAGGGATTAATCAAATTGTCTAGTAAGTATTTTAGGAGGTTTTTAATTACATAAAATTAAATATTTTGAGTAATAAAGTCTTAAAATATTGTGGTTTATTTAATAAATATTGGCTCATTTGGCTTAATGTTTCTTTAAACTTTTACTGTGGGAAATGATCAAAAGAAATAATTATTGGCAAACAGACCCTTTTGCTTGTAATTTTCTAATGAGACCAAAATGCTCTTTAAAAATTCATAAGGTTGTTCTAAATTATTCTCCTAGTAGTTATTTAATGGTTTTCTTAAACTAAAATCATGTTTTATTGTGGAAATAGCATTGTTTGTTTCAAGAGGCAAGGTCTTGTCTTTAACTCTCCAGCTTCCATTGAAGTCTACCCGTGGCTTCCCGAGGGCTGTCATCACAGGCTTGTGCTATTTCTACCTGTAGCTTCAGTTCCTACAGAACTCAGTATTCCAACCATGTCATTATCCTGGTGGCCCTGAACTCTGTGCTTTTTCTGATTATTTGCATTATTTTGTTGGTAGGAAGAGAAATAAGGAGGAAAGGGTAAGAATAAATACTATTAGTCTCAGTAGACGCAAGTATACTGAGGGTGAGATGGTGCCAGAATGCAGTATATTTTATTGTTTTGTCAAGAACTTTTTTAGACTCAATATTTTTTCAAAGTTTTAGATGTTTTGTTTTGTTTTGTTTGTTTGTTTGTTTGTTTGTTTTGTTTTTTTTTTCGAGACAGGGTTTCTCTGGCTTTGGAGGCTGTCCTGGAACTCTCTTGGTAGTCCAGGCTGGCCTCGAACTCACAGAGATCCGCCTGCCTCTGCCTCCTGAGTGCTGGGATTAAAGGCGTGCGCCACCAACGCCTGGCTAGTTTTAGATCTTAAAATAGAAAACAAATTTAACAACTCTTCAAAGAACATAGCTTACCTTAAAAAAAAATAGATACTTAAAATGTAAAACTGATCATTGGAATATGTAATTTGCTGAAATAAGTCCTATTGAGATTTCCTTATAAGATGAGCAAATTTTCAATTTGTATAAGACACCTCTGAGTGATTCTGGGATTACTTCCTGAAATCATAAGTTTATGGAGTCTTTGATTTTAGGGAAGTCAGGCATTACTAGATGATAATTATATTGAGGCAATGCAACATTCAAGCCTTTTTGTACTGTAGCCATAAAATTCTTTAAAAAGAAAATCATTCTACTGCCTTAGACTGTGTGACTCATTTTTGTAAAGTATTTATTTGTATTATTTTAAAGAGTATGTGTGTGTGTATGTGTGTGTGTGTCTTGCGCACACATGATGGGAGGATTTTGTGCGAGTGAGTACAGATGTCCCCAGAGGCTGGAAGAGTCAGAGGAGTCAGATGTCCTGGAGGTGGAACGCAAGCTTTTGTGACCCACCTAACGTGGTGCTGGGAACTGAACTGGGGTCCTCTGACTTGCTGAGTCATCTCTCCAGCTCTGTGACTCTATTTGGAAGGAACATAACTACTTTCCATGCATGTATGTATCAAGGCAGATAGTCACATAAACTAAATTATGGTAAACTGAGTTATTAAAAATAAACTATTTTAGGGGCTGGAGAGATGATCTGCTCAGTGGTTAAGAGCACTTGCAGCTTTTCCAGAGGTACTGAGTTTGATTCCCACAAACCACATGGTGGCTCACAACCATTCTGTAATGAGATCGGTGCCCTCTTCTGACCTACAGGCATACATGCAGGCAGAATATGTATGCATAATAAATAAATAAATCTTAAAAAAATAAAATAAACTATTTTAAAGAAGCATGGAAGTTTAATTCAGTGTTAGAGGCAGTATACCCTGCTATTTCAGTAGAGTTTTCAGCATAATGTTGTTAAGGGAGGACAATGGTGGACCAGTCTGTCTGTATGAGTTTGAACTTGAATTCACATGTTTTTCTGTTGCCCATGTTACTTTGAAACTGTGACTAGCTGGGTATGATGGCACACATCTTTAATCCCAGCACTTGGAGGCAGACAAAACAGATCTCTGAATTTGAGGTTTGCCTGATCTACAGAGCAAGTTCCATAGGAGAGCCAAAAAGCCAGGGCTACACAAAGAAACCTGTTTTGAAAAATCAAAAGAAAGAAACTATGGTTAATAAATATATTTAATTTGCAAAACAAGACAATTATAAAATATTAGGAACATCTGCTGAAAGTAGGGA